CATTACAGTAGCCCACTTGTAACCTACTGTACAGCAGAGCGACATTACTAGCTTTTTTTTTTAAATTAATATCGACGAAAAGACTTTTTTCGAAAAACTTAAAAACCGAGAAAGGTAAGTACGATCATTATACATACAACACACTCCAGATACATTTTATCAAACCAAATCTTATTTTATAATTAATGTTGAAATAAGTCATCGACTTGAGCATAATATCACATGACTAAAATATTTATTTTGTCGAAAAATCTTATTTTATAATTAATATAAATACATTTTTATATATCAAAAAACATTGACCCCCTTATGGAAAAATGTCTGGCAACGTGCCTGTCTGAAATCTAAATTTTTAAGAAATTCATGCGTAAATTAACAATTTCGTTGTTATTCGTTAAAAATAGTAATWATATAAAAATTTTCAATTACCTATATTYGTAACTTTTTTAGATTCTTAGTGGAGCGAGGAATGTATTGGTTTTACAATGATGTTTATTTCTTTTTCTTTTTTACGTGTAGATAATATAATATWTATATCTATATAGTGTTTGTTTTATAGGGATCGAAGTTTTGTGATCAGATCTGTGAGTACTGTGACAACAACAAAATTACTAGTATTACTACGATAACGTAGCAGCCACATGAATCGCGAATAATTTTTTATTGAATACAAAATTGAAATTTATACAATTATTTTTGTAATGAAAATTATAACTAGTAAACGTGGTAAAAATTATTGTAATTGATGGGTTCAAATTTAATTTTTCGTACAAATCGGTTTAGACAAATATTTCATGGTATCGCTGTTTAATCAAAAGTTTTACTAGTTTTAGGTACCAACCTCAACTGCTTATGTTAAATGTTAATTACGACAATATTGTATGGTAATATCAGTTAAACAGTTATATTGAAAATTGTAATTATTTTAATTTTACTTTTTCTTCTATGTTTTCAAACCAAATAAGTAGGTACGAGTATTAATTTACTTATACTGTATGAAACAAATGAAATGGGCTATGTTCAAATGACAAATACTGATAGACAAAATTTGGGACTGCTTGTAAACGAAAAACAATAAGTTAGGTATATTCTTGAAAGACCTCAAAAATAATTTTAAAGAAATCCAATAGAATAACAGTGTTTCAATTTTTATGGTCAATGATGCTTCAGTTGTTCGTCAATTTTATATATCGCGGGCACGAAAGCATTCCTTCGTAATTAAATGGGATACATTCTGCAATAGATGACACTGAAACATCTACCTGAAAAATCGAACAATTTTTGTTAATTAACTACCAAGAAGCAAATATAATTATTATATTTTCTTTTGGACCGAATTAATTTTAGATTCTGAGCGGAGCGAGGAATGTATTGGTTTTACAATGATGTTTATTTCTTTTTTCTTTTTATTCTGTAAGCACTTTTTCTCCCTTTAAACTTGCTCAAAAGTATCTAGTGTAGCATACTGAGGTCATTTTTCGATTTTCAAAACGGTGTTCGAAATAAAAGCAGCTAAAAGAGAAAAAACGTACGATTTCACGATTTTATAATATTAAATAATAAATTACGGACAATGTTTTCTACCAGAAATATTGTTTCAAATGAAAAATGACAAGAGATCTTTTTTGTTGTATTTTGGATTTTGCTCCTTACGATTTAAAGTTCGGAAAATTTTAGCCATTTTTAAGCTATTTATATATATTTTAATTTTGGGAGTTTTTTTTTGTTTTTATTCGATTAAAAACATTCGTTATAACTTGATATTTGGGTTGTTTACTTATATTAGCCTTGTCTAGACAAGGTAAAATTTTCAAAACATTTTTGTTCAGACTTTTGAGCTTTTTCTTTTCTTTTATATTTTTTTTTCATTTTTAAGATATTTCCTAATTATAAATTATAATTATATAAATTATCTATATTTATTCAAATCGTTCTTAAGCTGTACTTATAACGCTTTGTTTATCACCATAGAAACAAATAAAATTAAATAAAAAGATTCCCTCGTCAGCTCAGAATCGTTTTTTATTGAACATAGTAAAGTTATACTATCCTGTCCGAGAACCGAAGATACRATGGAAAAACATCCACCACCTAAATTCTGACCTTCTTTTTTCTATTTTAAGTAGGTATACTTAAAAATGTTGACTGAAGAAACTTTAAATATTTGTCATTCACACTACCTATAATTTTATATACTCAATATGTAGTGATATTTTCAAAATATTTAGAAACTTTTTAAATTATCAAATTAATTTWTTTTTTTATGTTGATAAAAATATTTARTCTTAGTCAATATGCTTGAACAGTTTACCCACTCATAGGCACACATAACGATCCATAAAAACGATCAAACCCCCTCGGTAAATGCCAGATGATCTGTAATTGCAGATCATTAGACAGCATTCGACGTTCCTCTTCATTTTTAACAGCCACCGCCATGAATATGGGAGGGCTTGCGTGACGGCAWCCGTTTTAAAAATGGTCTCTAATTATTCAACTTAAAAATTTAAAACGTTAAAAATATATAATACAGACATGATTTTTTTTTATTAACGTATAATCCTTGAAAAAAGGGCAAATAAAATTTGATTCTGATGGCAACTTCTCTCAAATTAGTTTGTAACAATGATTCTATAAGTTTAAAACAAATATCAAATAAAGTTAAAATTTAAAACTCAATGATTTATGTACCTAATAATAACAGATAAAAAAAAAAATCCTTAACCATTTATATCAAAATTTTGCATACGACTATACAAGTTTATATTTTGTAATATGCATCATATGATGTAGACTAAACTAACATTGTCAATACTTCTGTTATATCTGTTTGATAATTTTGTCCTTAAAACATTTGTGTAAATACTCCATTCAACGTTATAATTGTTTATAGCATTTTATTTAATATACATACAGAATGATCCACTAATTCTAAACCAGCTGTTTTTACTATAGATACGTCAATTATTCAATTATTTTTTTTATTAATCTCTTAATCTTATTACCTGAACTTTTTATATAACAATTTTAAAATTATCTCCCACATTTTTATAATCAAATAAAATATTTTTAAGATTAAATACTAAAAAGATATTTTCTTCCGCGTATTCCCCTAAAATACCCAAGTAAAAGTATTAAACCTAATCATTGAAGTATCGGATCATCGTTATTGTTATACATCCCTCTGTATACCTATGTAATAATCTAAATAAATTAGTCCAACAGAATTGTAATAAAAAATGATATTTAATTAGTAATATGTGTAATGTACCTCACTCGTAATAGTTAACAGACACAACAATAATTAATTTAAAACTATTAATTCAACTATTAATTTAAAATCCACACATATAAAATAACAACTAAAACTAAAAATGTACAGTTATACTTATTGTATATATTTATTTATTCCGTTCTTAAATGGTTATCTTTCGTCTCAAAATCTACTGCATGGCCCTTATCATCCACCGCCTATTTTTGAAATTTGCCCAAGGTAATATAAACACATTTATTTTGTAGTATAAGTAAATATTATTCGTTGCCTATAAAATAAATTCTTTTTTATTTAAATCTTTATTATCTGGGTGCGTCCAAATATTGAATGTCCTTACAGGCGTTTTATGCATGACGTAAAATATTTACTGCTTATCTACTATATAATGGTAAAAATTCATAAAAATGCTACTTTTACAGCAGTCTGATTTGAACTTAGAAAAATATTTTTAATTAGACATCAATCAAGAAGATAGATTTTATAAAACGGCACGAGTTAAAATCTGTAAGCTATAAAGTCTCAACTAATATTTTTAAAGCATAATATTGAAAAAAAAATTCTAAAGTGGAATTGGTAACAATAGTATGCCTTAATTTTCTTCTTGGGGGTAGGTACGTAAAAAATTATATTCTATATTAATAAAATATTGTATTTATTTATTTATTTAGATAAACGCTAAAGATGKCTTTGGTACACCATAATATGTATATAATAACATAAAAAAATAAAATAACATATTATGACATACGCGTTCTATACTTACATAATATTAACTTATAATTAGATTTGTTAAATTACAATTAAGAAGTTATATAAGAATTTAGATAACCGTTAACTTATAAATACATATACGGCGGATACTTACAAATTAAAGAAATCAATTCCAAATTAATTTCTCATCCTTAAAATTCTTTCTAAGAGATTATTATATCCATAATTAGTACGGTGGGTTTTAATATAGAATGTAGAGCAATTTCAGAGTAATATACATTTAAAAAAATATATTCTAAGAGAGAGAAACATGTAATTTTACCATTAATTAACTCAGAAAGGAAGGAAATATCAGCTTTTATACGACAAATAGATAAAAGAATGAGATTAAGGATATTTTAAATATCATTAATATTATTGTCTTTTTCATCATTTAATATTTTTTAAAACAAATAAATCTCAAAAATCTTCTTTGTATCATTTCGATTTTTTCAATATAGCATKTCGATAATGGGCACCATACAATAGACCCATACTCCAATATTGTCGGATCAGGGAACAGAAAAGGRTGTTAAGACAATAAATATCAGTAAAAGATGAAGTAGATCTAATTAAAAATCCGAAGGTTTTTAGAGCTTTTAAAYAAATWTGGTCAATGTGAGTGGAAAATAATAAATCAGATTGAAATGTAATATCAAGATCACGAATAGTAGTAACATTAGGTATAGTGTAACATCATTAATTGAATAATTAAAGTTGATTTTATTTTTCGTACGACAACGACAATACGTAATTTTTTAAAATTTATAGACATTGGGCTTTAATTTATTTACTATACATCAATTAAGAAATCTATTTAGGTCTTCTTGTTGCGTCAGACAATCACAGGCTATATTATGATAAAGTTTCAAGTCATCAGCAAAGAATTTAAGTTGACAAGATTTGAAACATGTATCAATATTGAATATCGAATGAGAATATTAAAAATAACAAAGGGGATAAATGTCCACCTTGAGGGACACCAGACGTTACATTGCATTTAGATGATATATATCCATTTACTTTAACTTGTTGATGAGATGATTGCATTGCATCATTAAGATATGATTCAAACTAGATATATTATTAGAATCTTGAGTTGGATAATACGTGGTTAGCACTCTGCTGTACATTAGGTGTCGAGTGTACCTCCGTACTGGATGTCACTGAAATAGTGTAATTTAACTACATATWTTATATGTATATGTTAGATTTGAATTCAAAGATATATAAAAAAAAAATTCTGAGCGAAGACGATCAGCATATAATACTACTAAATAAATGTTTTCATATAATTATATTCCTATTAAAGTAATTGCTTTAACCACTGTTGTCTAAGAGTAATACCGTAGGTTGAAATAATTTTTGCGAAAAAAATTATATTTGAATTTGTCATTGTGCGCATAATATATGTAGCTATAAAAATATTTTGAATCACAGAAAAGCATTATCATTAAATTAGTAAATCATTGTRGAATATTAAATTATATATTATTTTTCGCAGTAAAATATATTGCAAAGGTGATCTTTTACATGCAGTACAAATTTCAAAAGTGTTTCCAACAGCTAAAACATTTGTAGATATGCAAATGAAAGGAAGCGAATCATTTATATTCAATAGTTTTYGTATATTGAATAATACTTTTAATGGCAGTATACCATTACTAGAATTAAAGAAATTTGTTCAACGTAATTTCAAACCCCATACTCTTCAGAAATGGTTACCACCGGATTTTAAAAATCATCCCAAAATCATTGATTATTTACAAGATAACAACTATAAGTAAGCATTTAAATAATAATTGTATATAATGAGTAGAGTGATGATACATATACTAATTTTTTTACAATTTTTTTTGCGTATAATCCTTGAAAAAGTTTCATTTTTTGTTTTTTTTTAAATGAACAATAACTAAAATTAAAATGTTTAACTAAAATTATAATAATTATAATAATTATATATATAACTGTTTTGTATTAAGAGAATTCTTGTCGGGGATAAACCAGATTTGGAAGATATTAGCCAGAAAAGTATCAGACATAGTTAAAACTGAAAGTGGTCGTTATTCAATGATATATGTACCTAATGGATTCTTTGTAAACATGGAATTTCAAAATGAATTTAATTATTGGGACGCATATTGGATAATAAAAGGTATTAAATGATACAGGCACCTACTTTACGTTTTCATTTAATAATCTTATTAAGTACTAAGTAGGTAAACTTACTTTTTTAATATAAACTAAAGCTATGTGGAAATGTTCTATTTTTCGTCATAATCCACATCTAAGTTAACTTACATTTTAACTTTAATTAATATATCTGACAGTTCAAAACTAAAAATAAAATATTCTTACTGCAACAACAATAATATTTTATGAAACTACTTCACTTGTTTATAAATACTTGCAACCAAAAATTTATTTTATTCAAATCTTAACCAACTTATTTTACGAATTTCTTCAAACACTATTCTTCGGGAATGCACCCAAATGAGTAGATTGCTATAAAACGGAGTTGGTGCAGTGATTTAATCATTTAATAACTAATAAGCTGCTTAATCATAAAGGTGTCTCAATTTTCAACTATGAGACTCCTATTCATGCCATTCATAAGTTACAACTGACAACGAAATTTCTATAAATAAATAACATTTTATTTATTATTTGTGCGGATTATAATATAATTTGTTCAGAATAAAAATATTCACTTTGGAAAAAAACTATCTATAATTCGTAGGTACCCAAGTACAAGCGTAAAATGTAAGTAAAACCGACAAGAAGGTACTAGGTAGGTAAAGTATTATGGTGGATACTAAGTAGATCAACGGTCGCCAACTAGTGGTTCGCGTTAAAAATTTGATGGTCCACAARAAAATTTGAACATCATTCGACTCATTCGTAATTWTGTGAGTTTATAATCGTAATATACGAAATTAGCATATAATKTCGCTATATGTAGATCCAGTTTACAACAAATAAGAATAAGCRCATAATATTATTGTTTATTTATTTATTATCGCATGTTATATAATAAATACACCTAATTTCCGTCGACAGTGGGTTATTATTATAGGTACACGTGTTGTTATCGCGCACAGTAAAATTCATGTAAATAATATTTTAACGTTTAAATATAAACACGGGAATGAATGGAAGAAATATATTGGAATATGTACAGACGGTGCTGCAAACATTGTTAGACGTCTTTCAGGCATTGTTACAAAAGTGAAAAATGTTGGTCATCCAGAAATTTTGTCTACACACTGCATCTTGCACCGTGAACAGCTTGCATCGAAAAAGATTTCCCCAAAACTACACGAAGCATTATCAGATGTTATTAAAATTGTAAATGTTACCTATTCGACACAAAGCGCTTAATTCACGACTATTTTAGTCACTTTGTGAAGAAATGGTTCCCCGTATACGCGCCTTCACGCAAAGGTGAGGTGGCTATCAAGGGAGAAAATACTAACCCGACTATTTGCCCTGCGTGAAGAAATTAAATTATTTTGCTACAATATGACCAAATTTCAAGAAATCTTATTCGATGATGATCGGATTGCCAAGCTTACATATCTGCCAGATATTTTTTCGCTGTTAAATGAACTAAAAATATATCCATGCAAGGAAAATTTAAGGACGTGTTTACAATACGAGATAAAATGGATGCTTTTCAATATTAGTGTGGCAAACACGGGTGGCTGAAGATCTGAAAATGTTTTCAAATCTTGATGAATTTTTTAGAGAGAAGGGCGTTAACCAGCAAGTGGTACTTATTGTACAACAGCACCTACAATCACTCACAGAATCTTATGATTGTTATTTCTTTACAAAAAAAAACCCTAGACATGGAAATATGTGGTTAATAAATCCATTTGTAGCAAATATTAGAAACAACAATTTAAATATTAATGAAAAAKAAGCCTCATCGATTTTTCATCCGATAGCACACTTAAATAAAAATTCCAGTCAACTCCATCAAAATCTCAGCTTTGTCTCTCAGTTAAAAGCGAATACCCATTGCTGATTGAAAAAGCCATGAAAAATTTAATTCAATTTTCAACTACTTACGTATTTATGCGATAAAACATTTTCATCAGTCACAGCTATTAAAACTTGTTACCGGTCTACGCTTGAAATAAATAGAGCTCCGTCTTGCAGTTACTTCATTGGAGCTAAAAATAGTAAAATGCACATACTTATTCAAAACAAAGAACAAATTTACAAATCTCACATTAAAATTTTTTTAATACTTAACAGTTTTATATCAAGGAAATTTTTTTTTTTTTGTACTCAATAAAAATTAAACTAACTTAAATAATTTTATTATTCATAATAAAACCCTTTATTGTTATTTTATAAAATATGCGTTAATTTAATTTTTTTTTTTTTGAACTTGGTATTCAAGACATGGGTATAAGTAGTCCGTAGAATTTAGAGTTATGGGATTTAGTGGTCTGCGAGGCCCAAAAGGTTGGCAACCGCTGAAGTAGATGACATAAATTTTTTATGCTATATAATAATAATATAAGCTTTATAAAGATATATTAGGTATATACGATTAAAATATAAAAAACAAAGATGTACATATAATCATTCATCGGTAATATAAAATTAATACCTTATTACACTATGTACATACCATTTTATAAAATTTTTAAATGTATATATATATATATATACTTTATTTTCAATATTGTTTTGAAGGTGCATTAATATGTGGAATGGAAACTACTGTAAAAGGAATTTTAGAAAATTTTCTTTTCATGATTAAGAACTATGGATATGTATTATTAGGGAACAGAATATATTATGAAGGACGATCACAACCACCACTTCTTATTCAAATGATGTCTATTTACTATACATATACTAAAGACGAAAAATTCATAACTGATAATATTGGGGTATTTTAATTTATCTTAATTTTAATATCAATGATTGAAATTAATGCCTATCCAATATTTTATCACTGATGTTTACTTCTCAGAGAAAAATATAAATTYAAATTAACAATCAAATATTAGGTTTATATTATTTTGTCAAGATAATTTCAGTATTTCAATGTTTTGATATTACGGATTTCATGTATACAATGTCTCCATTTATTTTTTTTATAAAACCTCCATTATGCACAATATCATAAAAAAAATTGTAAAAATCAATTTACTAATTAATTTAAAACTTAAATAGGTATCGACCAATTTTTTTTTTTTTTCAAACAATTATTATCCTTTACTTTAATTATAGCTCCTTGATGCGGAAATGATGTTTTGGTTAAACTTCAGGTCCGTTAACGTTAAAAGCATTAATAATGTTTATATTATGACTCAATATATGAGCAATAAAACTGATCCTCGCCCTGAATTATACACGTACGTAAGAATAGTTTAAAATACCTACATATTAATGAATATTATTTTCAAATCATTAAATACCAAATGTTTTTAGTATTGATGTAAGCATATCGAAAAAATTGCCTAGTGTTCAAGATCAAAACGAATATCTGTGTAGAGTAAAAGCTGCCTCCGAATCTGGCTGGGGATTTTCGAGCAAACATTTCGACAATCGGAATATTTATAATGATTTTAGAAGTAAGAATATCATATTTCAATATATTTGACACGTAACGTCAATACTCAGTATAGTAATATTAAACAGTCCAACATTTTAATCGAAATGTATTTCGTTATTAATATTGAAGCAAAGTAGTACACATCAAAACAAATTTACAAAATCAATATTATAATTTAATATAAATTGTATAATAATATTATACCTATATATATATATATTATATATAGGTAGGAGCCAAGAGGTACCTACAGTAAACTTTTGTACATTTAATAACTTGAATCACTAAACATCATAACTCATAAGTATAAATTTTAAATACCTGCAAGTGTTTAAAGCTTGTATATTCACAAATTTTTTTTAAATAGATATAAAATTTATTTATTGGCATTTAAGAATTTTACTATATTTAATAAACTTACAGAGACCTTGTTGAAAACAAATCCTCTAAATTTTGCATACGTTGAATTGAATTCTATAATGCAATTAAACGCCAATATTCTGTCAAATATGTATCTCATGGTTAACGATCAAGTAAACTCAAAGTTTTTCAAACAAATTGCTCATCGTTATCAAATCGGAATAAACGCAGTAAGTAATTTAAAATAGATGTGTATTTAAAAAAAAATTATAAGGMTGTACTTTCACTATGTATTTATGTTGATTTATACGCATATTTAACTATAAAAGTTATTATGGAACGAGGATGAAAAAATGTGGTTTGACTTTGACACATCGAAAGCTGAAAGTCGTAATTATTTTTATGCATCCAACTTGGCCCCTTTATGGACTGGAAGTTATGACGATAAACTAAGTGAATTTTACGGCGATGCAGCAGTGGAGTATCTAATAAGAAACAATATAATAAATGAAGATTTGACACCATCACGTTTTATATGTAATTTCTATGTACCTATATAATATAAAAGTTATAGATAAATTAAAAAACCACATTATTATAGTTTGCACTTTACTCCGAGGCTTCAATAAATAGTCTAGAATTTTAAAGCCATAGCTATCCAAAAACTAATATGATATTAGGTACTGTAGAAAGTTGAAACATAATAACATAAAATTATTTGTTGGTTAATTGGTTAATAAGAGATACTGTTGTGAATGCAGCTGTGGATTATTTAAATTGTAAAGTGACGTGTAAATAATAATGTAAGGCATACAATGAAAAATTAAGAGTACTCTATTTTGCCAGTTAATCTAATGATTAGGGATTACATGATGATGGAATTACATTACAAGGAGAAACTATACCACTAAATGAATAATCAAATATTGAAATAAAAATAAATATATAATAATTTCTTCAATAATATAATCAATAAAGAAAAAATAAAYGACATACATAATGAGGGTACTAATTTGGAAATTAAAAGTGCTAAGCACTCACATACCCCTAATCGAATTCTACCTATACCTATTATATACCTAGTCATTATTTACTTATTGAAAACGAGATACGAGACAAAACCAATACAAAATTATGAATTATTGCACWTACTAAAATGTAAGAGAATATTTTGATAAAATATTGTATTCAAATAACAAATCAAGTAAGTTACTGTATACATTTTAAAAATAACTTACCTAACACCGGCGAAACTGATAAGATAAATTAAAATATTTWAAAAAAAATTGTAGATACATATATATAATCATTAATATTAATTACAACTACATGTCTTATATAGGCGTACCAACATCTTTCTATAACTCTAATTTAGATTGGGATTATTACAACTGTTGGCCACAATTACAATCAATGATAATTTTTGGATTACAATCAACTAGAAGTCAAAAGGCACAACAAGTAGCATTTAATTTAGCCAGTTCATGGGTTCATACAAATTTTGTGGGATATAATTTAACAAAAACTTTGTTCGAAAAGGTAAATTATTATTATTAATAACATAAAAGATTTTTTTTWAACTTAAATATAACAATTTACAGTATAATGCAATTAAATTGGGTAGCAATGGCAAAGATAATAAGGATGATGTAATACGTTATCCACAAGGATACGGAGTAACAATCGGGGTACTATTTGAGATTTTTCATGAATGGGGAGATAAACTGATGAGTAAATAAACAGTAATACTTAAAAATAAATAAACATACTATTATTAAATATTAAAAAACTAAATGATTATTTTGTTTTATGTTTTTTAATTAATTAAAATTGAATACGAATCATTTTAAATAATTGTTTTTTTTTACTGTAAATTATTATATATTTTGCTTCACTAACTATTGCAATGACAAAATTATTTGAACGTTCAAAAGCTATTTTCTACGGATGAGGATATACATTACCGTCAATATATCTATCTAGATCCCGTTAAGAGTGCGTAACAGTGGTATTTGTTGTCTCCGTCTTACCAGTGCGTAATATAACAAATTTACGCTCAGCAGAATACTTGTAGCTCCTTTGGTTTAAAAATTACAGTGAATCGAYCTATTATGAAAGTGTATGGTAAGTACGTCATCTGTGTTTGTACGTTGGTTTTTTTACGATAATTCAATTTTTAAGTGAGTTATGAGTATTTTTAATGTACTGTATATTATATGCTCATAACTCACTTAAAAATTGAATTATCGTAAAAAACCAACGTACAAACACAGATAATGCACAGGGTATGCAGGGTATGCCACTGCAAAGTCTGCGAGCTTCATTTGAAGGGCCCATGTTTATCATAACAAAGCATTTTTGATAATATCTTATAAAGTATTTAAAAAAATGTTTTTTAGTTTTAAATTTTCTCGTGACCAGCAAATTAATTATACAGACGTAACAACTTTATAAATATATGTTAAAATTATTTAAAGACTTTCCAAATAATATATACTTAAATTTAAGAAATAATAGATTTTCTTTTAATAAATATAATTCAAATTTCAAACTACTTATTTCTACAATGCATTGTTTAATATTCTACTGTAAAACTATGTGTGGTTTTAAATTCYGAGAGAACAAAGAAGGTATAAGTAGTACCTATATTTGAAAAAACTTAAATTGTAAATTAAGTCCTATATGTGGTAAAAGAAAATGTTTAACGGCCCAGAATCGTTTTTTTGTTTTTTAGAATAAATTATTTATTCTTTCTTTAAATCCAATAAAATTATGTTGAGTATCTTAGTTACAATATAGGTTAGGCGATATTTTTTTTTTAGGGCCCCTATTTGTCTTATTGCATAACCTGTGAATAAAGTCTGCGCACGCCTATGACTTTCATAATAAGTCGATTTACTGTAATTTTTAAACTAAAGGAGCTACAAGTGTTCTGCTGAGCGTAAATTTATTATATTACGCACTGGTAAGACGGAGACAACAAATACCACTGTTACGTACGTTAAAAGTAAGTTTCAAAAAAAAAAAAATAACGAGTTAGTGAACTTAGTTAATATTAACTTAACGTTTTAACTTAATTTTAATTTTTAACTCGTTATTAATGCCCAGCTTTGGTTATCAGTTTGTCACTATAGGTACTAATATGAAACAAATAAAACTCTGTGTTTACTTAACAATTATTGTATTACTCGTATAATATATGTGATGATAGATAATCAATGACTAATAATGTAAAATATAAATCATATTATAATTTATCAGGATATTTATTTAGATCTGGTAAATAATGATGAATACTAGTTACCTACCTATTGTTGAAATGTCGAATCATGTCGTTTTTAGAACATGCAATTTGTACATAAGTGTGTATATATTAAATAATACTTTAATAAGTTCAATAAGAGTACTTCTAATTTCCTGCATCATAAACATTAAACACGCACATTTGCCGGAAATAGGTATTAACTACGTCTTAAAACAAATACTTGAATACAATTATTTATCAATATTTAAAACATAAATTAATATAAACAATATTACTATGCGAGTTTATGAACAGATTTCTGAGAAATTTTGAGTTTTATAGATTAAAAAAAAATTGTTGGCGTACATTATGAATGAGTACAAAAGTCACCCATTAATTGGATTATGGTTATTGGTAAGGTASCTAATAATTCGTTTTAGAGTTTAATTAATTTATATATTATTTTTATCAATTTAATTTGCTTCATTGTTAATTGTGGTGTATAAAACAATTATTGAATCAGTGTGACCGCCATAATGGTCAACTCAAGATATCGGTCAYTCACCATTATAGATTCTATGGTATTAGTGAACGGGTTAATCCAAAAATCAGCTATTATTTTTTTACATGTTTGTAATTACCATATGAAATATAGGTTAGATTATTAGATAGGTACTTGTCAGTTGAAGTAGTCACATACTCTTACACAACTTAATTTTATTTAAAACTTAATTMATTTATATTTAATTCCTATGCATAATACCTAATATAATATATATTATACCTATTACCCATATCTTATACAGTCAAGTTATACCTATCTAAAAAAGGCTCAGAAATAATTTACATTTATTGTATCTATA